TAAGCTTCTGCCTGCTATACAGTGTTTTTGAAATATTTACACTTAATTTTGCTGAAAGCGTAAAACATTTTTACTTCCCAAGATCCTTTACTGAGTGTCTGTTGCTACTAGATATATCATACCTTAAAGTATCTGCCTCCCTTCACTACTTACTACCATCCCCACACCCTCCAAACCCAACAATAAACTATTAGAACAAAACTTCCAAAAGGGTATTGTTTTCTTTTTTCTCTTTAGGAAACTTAATCTGAAGAGATTAATGAGAGGAGAATTTGATTTATTCAAAAGTAATTTTAAAGGGGTTCATAAATTTGGTTTGTCTCATTCAAGAAATGTTTGTTAAATACTTAACCATGTTCAAGAAAGTATTAGTTTCTTAGAGTTTTGCTTCAGACTGTGAAGGAGTTTTAGATAGTAACTGCCTTTGTGAAAAAGAGGCTGTATGGTATAATAGAGAGTAGGCTGGATGTGGAAGTTAGAATCAGTTAATTAATATTAAGCTTTCACAGTGGGCCAAAAGTCCTGTTCTAAGCAGTAGAAATACAGAGAAAAAACAAAACGTTCTTGGCCTCCAGTAGCTTATGTTCTTATGGGCAGCCTACATGTATAGAAATGGTTACATACAAAGTGCATGGAAGATAACCTTAGAAATCATTAACAGTTGACCAGCGTTTTATTTCTTAAGGTGCATATATTTCAGTTCTAAGTACTGAAGAAAATCACATTTCAGAATGATATGAATTGGTTTTTTTTAATAAAATTATTATTTAGCTTATTTTTGGTTATATTTTGAGTACAGAATCTCCTTCCCTCTTTTCCAGCCCCACATTAGAGAAGGTAAACATTTGATATAGATATATAAATGTGGAACCATACAATACATATTTCCATATATCAGTTCTTTCTCTACAGGTGGATAGCATTTTCCTTCACAAGTCCTTTGTTGTTGATTTGAATGGTCATATTATTCAGAATAGCTTAGTCATTCACAATTACTCTTCAAACAATATTGCTGTTACCATATACAGTGTTCTTTTGATTCTGTTCATTTTACTCTTCATTATTTCACTCAAGTCTTTCCATGTTTTTCTAAAACCAGCTTGCTCTCCATCTATTTACAACACGGGAGTATTCCATCACAGTCATACACCACAACTTCCACAACTTATTCAGCCATTCCCCAATTAATGACCATCCCCTCACTCTCCAGTTCTTTGCTGCCAGAAAGAGAGCTGCTATAAATATTTTAGAGCATATAGGTTCTTTTCCTTTTTCCCTGATTAGGGAAAAGAGACCTAATAGTGGTATTGCAGGGTCAAAAGGTATACACAGTTTTATAACTCTTTGGGCATAATTCCAAATTATTCTCCAAAATGGTTGGATCAGTTCATAATTCGACAGTGTATTAGTGTCTCACTTTTTCCATATTCCCCTCAACATTCATCCTTTTCCCCCTCTATCATTTTAGCCAAGTTGATAGGTGTGAGATGGTATTAATAATGCATATAGATTATTTTTTCATATGACTATATTGCTTTGATTTCATCTTCCAAAAACTCTCTATTCATATCTTTGACCATTTTATCAATTGGTGAATGACTCATGTTCTTATAAATTTTACTCCATTCTCTACATATTTGAGATATGAGGCTTTTATCTGAGAAACCGGCTATAAAATTTCCTCCCCAATTTTCTTGTTCAGTAGTGTCTGACTCTTTTGACCCCATTTGGGGCTTTCTTGGCAAAAATACTGATGTGGTTTGCTATTTCTTTCTTCAGCTCATTTTACAGGTGAGGAACTTAGGTAGACAGGCTTAAGTATCTTGCCCAGAGCCACTCAGCTGAGGCAGGATTTGAACTCAGTAAGAGTCTTTCTGAGTCCAGGTCCAGTGCTCCACTGTACCACCTAGATGCCCACCCCAATTTTCTGCTTTCCTTATGATCTTGACTTCTGTGAATGAACTGCTTTTTAACATCTACAAAGCTATTTATCCTTCTGTTTCTTTGGATAATTGAGTTGACTTAAATAATAGAGCCTTCAAAGTAGTTTCTTAAGTTTCTTAAGGTAGTAAGTCAAGCTGAAAGAAAACACATGTGACTTGCTATTTAAAATTAAATGAAAATGTTCAAATTGTTGCAATGTTTTATGCAGTTTCTTTTCACCTTAATCATGTTAAATGTAAATGTTATGTAGTATTAGCTACTCATACTCTAGTTCAAAGTCTGATAGTAACAAATATTAACTTAGCACAGAAAACTTAGGGTAATAATTTTTTTTTAGTTGAACTCATCTTTCAAAAAATTCTTGTTACTTTTCTATGTTTTTTTTTTACAGCACCTCTATTTCTCAGTATGTTCCTTCCCTCTCTGGAGTCATCTCTTAAAACAAGCTATAGCTTGTTCATTATAGTTATATAGTGATCAGTTTTTTTTTAATGATTGCTCTTTTTTTCCATTTATTTTATTATAGTCATCTATTCCTGGTTCTTCTTACTCAGTTTACAGCACTTCTTATAAGTCTTACCTTGCTTCTCTGTATTCATCATATTCCTTATTTCTTATGGCACAAGAATAGTCCACTGTATTCATGTAAACAAAATTTGTTTAGCCATTCCCTAGTTAATGGGAATATGTTTTGTTTAGGGTTCTTTTCTATTATAAAAAGTGTTTCTTGGAATATGTGGGTAATAGATCTTTCTGTCTTTGACCTCTTGGTTTTTATGCCTAGCATGTGGGCTTTTTGGGACAAAAGATGTGGGCATTTCAGTCATTTTCTTTACATACACATTTCTTAACAGAGTGGTTGCACCAGCTTACAGCTCTGACAACATTGTATTAGTGTGCTTGTCTTTCCATAGCCCCTCTAACACTGTCTGTTCTCATCTTTTGTCATCTTTGACAATTTGCTGGATATGAGGCAAAAAACCTCAGAGTTATTTTGATTTGCTTTTCTCTTATTAGTGATTTGGAGCAATTGTTTATTTCTCTACCAAGTGGAAATGGCACATCAAAACTTTTCATCAGTTTATTGAAGACCTGCAGCAGCTTTGAAATCTCGTAGCTTGAGCAAGTTTCCAGAAAGTTTCATCTGTAAAATGAGATTAAAATGTTTAGATTACTTGCTTTACAGCATTTTCTCTGTGATCAAATAAGAGAATATATGTAAAGACATTATGTAATTACAGGCTATAATATTCAAGTCTGTGAAGGTCTATCATGCTCCTACAGTGTTACAATGCTGGGTGCTAAGCAGTGGGGTTACAAAATGATTACATTTTACAGGGGATATACAACCATGAACCCAAGTAAATATGGGTTAATTTGAAAAGGGAGAGAGAATTAATAACTGGGAGATCCAAGAAAGCTTTTACAGAGGAGCTACAATCTTATTGGCTCTTGGAAAATAAAAGAATTCTAAAAAGTGAGTGAATTTATTTTATTGGATTGGGAATAACTTGTGTGAATGAGGGTGGGAGGAAGGAGAAGATGGAATGGAAGATTGAAAAGCTACTAGTCAAATCTGTCTAAAATGTGAATTTGTGAAGGGGAATGATATAAAATAAGCCCAAAAAGGTAGGTTGGAGCCCAGTGTTGAAGGACCTTAAAAACCAGGCTGAGTTGTTTGTGTTTTGTCATAGAGGCAGTAGAAAGTCTGTTAGCTTGGTACAGTGGAAGGACAGCTTTGAACAGTAGAAAGAGTTCTGGCTGTGGAGTCAGAACACTTGAGTTCAAATCCTGCCTTTTATGCTTACTACCTGTGTGACCTTGAGTAAGCTCCTTTGACCTTAGACTTTGTCTGTGATGACCTCTGAAGCCTCTTCCAGCTCTAAAGCTGTGATCTTAAATGTTGTGGGATTAATAGTTTACAGTTGTAGTTGTAGTCTGGGTGAGAAGAGATCAGAGGATAATAAATTTAGCTTTAGGAGGAACCTTACAGGTCATCAAGCCTATTCATTTCACTTCAATTTATAGATGAGGAAACTGAGGCCTGGTTGGTGCTTTGTGAGGGGAGAGCGGATATATGCAAGGTAATTTGTATAGATAGAATTGACAAACCTTGGCAATTGTTGGGGGAAGGGGAAGTGTATTGTCAAGGGTGACTGCAAATAGAAAAGTAGAATGTAAACTATAGGCTCACAAGCTAGACTTTGATTCCTAGCAAACTCTAGAGTATATTATTCATATTGATCTTTTACTTACACCTCAGTAACATTTCCTGATGATTCCCATTCCCAGCCATCCTGAAATCATAATTTCAAATTGCTCTTCAGAATGATTAGACAAATTTATAGTCCTACTGGTGGTCTGTCAGTGTGCTTGCTTTCCTGCAACACCTCCAACATTAACTATTCCCATCTTTTGTCATCTTTGCCAGTTTTGGCAAAGAGGTCAACTTTTCCTTAGACTTGTGCAAAGGAAGAAGACAAGTGAAGATGTGGAGAAATTTTGAGTTGTGGAGTAAAAATTACAAAGGAAGTAAAGATGGATGTTCCCCAAAGGGACATATAGGCAACATATTTGTACAGTTAAGGTATACTTTTGCTGTAGGTAAGGAATTATTTAGTTGAATATGAGAGAAGCCTTTCATCCTCAAGTTATTAGAATTATTTCCTTACCTTTCTCCCAACATAACTTTTTTTTTAATTTATTTTTTATTTTTAGGCAATTGGGGTTAAGTGACTTGCCCAGGGTCACACAGCTAGTAAGTGTCAAGTGTTTGGTCTGAGGCCAGATTTGAACTCAGGTCCTCCTGACCTCAGGGCCGGTGCTGTATCCACTGTGCCACCTAGCTGCCCCCCAACATAGCTTTTTGAATATTCTTGTAGCCTGCCTCCTTTTCCCCCTCCCTTTCCACTTCATCCCTGAGGTTGTGCCATCATTTGCAGATAGCTATCATTTTTTTACATATTGTTACAAATTCCAGGAACCATTAATAAACTTTTTGTCAAACTGTTTGAAAGAAAAATGTTTCTGAACTTCATTTTTAACATCTCTTGCAGCCTTCTGTTGAGATTCACAGATGATACCTTTGATCCAGAGCTTGCAGCAACAATTGGTAAGCTATGTTGAAAAAATAATTGATAGTATTAATGAAAGGTAAGACTTCATATTTGTGACTCCCTCAAATCAAGTAGACTGACAGAAGATTGTGTACTTTGTCAAATTTTTTTGGATAGAAGATGAAAGAAAATACTTAGAGTATTGTTTGTTTAGTGAGTAGACTAATATCTTGATGCACCCTATTATGATGGGAAGAGTACTGGGTTGAATTCTGGTCCTGGCTTTGCCACTAAGTGGGAAAGTGACATTAGCCCGTCAGTCTCATTGGACTTCTTTCCGAAGCTAGAATGTGAAGGTATTGGATTATGTGACCCCTAAAGTTCTTCAGGCTTTTACATTCTATGATTTTCAATTCCATGTAAACTATACTTAAAATGATGTCGTCCTATGAAATGTTTTTGACAAAGTAATATTTGTAGTTGTCTCAATTGCATGAATGGAAAAGAACAATATTGATTTCAAACATCAGGTACTTCAGAAGACATTTATGGGACTTTGGGATATATTATAACATTTTTCTTGCTATTTTTCTTTTTTAAATGACTCCTTATTTAATTTGGTAAGGTCAAAATGAAAATTTGCCTTTTTTTTTTTAAAGACCATGCAAGGATATGTTAGGTGATAGGATGGTAAACGAACCCAAAATTAAGGATTTGCTGTCAGTAGTCAAAAGGTAATTCTGTTTACTAAAACAGATCCATCGAACTTTAAGAATGATTGATCTGTATTCAGAAAGAGTGGTCATTATCTTCAGTTGCCTTGATTTATTTCAGTCTTTAGCAGATTATAGAAAGGCACTGTATGTTAAAAAAATGCATGTAGATCTTGGCTAGTTGTGAGATCATATATACTTTGGCAGCAAATAAAGCTAAGACATGCATAATTTATTCCCATGATAGGCCGTGGGTCCTGAACTCCTGAAAACAAAGCTGTTCTTACAACATTAGTTCTCAGATTACTGTTATGGACTATAAGCAATATGTTCCTGCAGAGATATTTAGAAAAATTTTGTATCCCAGAATATCCTAATTGCTTTCACTCTCATTCAACATCTGAAAACAACATTTGCAAAATAATGAAATACTTGACTAAACATTGCTATGACCCTTACTACTACCTTGGAGCTATTAAATTCCTGGTTTCTATATCTTTCTTTCCATACTGGCATAAAACTATTTTTGGATGACTTTATTTTTAAAACTGTAGGCATATGAACAAAAAGGAAAGAGTAGCATGCCATGGATTCTTTTGTGCCAAGGCTGTAGAGTAGCTAGAATGTTTCAGCAACTTGTGGGGTGTGGCAGAAAGCCCTTCTTAGAGTCAATTTGTCTCCCAGGGGTGGGTTGTCAAAAAGAGATGGGTGTGTTGGAGATTCACTTCGCTTGGCTTATGTTAGATAGAATTGATTGAAAGTTAAGCATAGAAGTTGATAGCTATAAAATTTGTGCAAATTACCCATAATATCTGATTTGATATATAGTAAGGTAGACTTATTGATTAGGAGAAACTTCTCCTTTTGAAAAGTTGTTTGTTTTCATCATAATGTGCTTTGTGTTATTGAGCTTTTGAAAATGTTAATACCTAATTTGATAGCTGAGACTTTATTTTTGAACACATTACCACGTTGTTTTTGAGTTTAAACGTCCAACTAATTTTACTCTGAATGTTTCAGAGGGCTGACACATCTCAACCAAAAGCTAATCATCAAGTTGTCAAGCATCATGAGTTAGATAGATTCTCTTTCTGCCTCTAATACTAATTTCCCATTTGTTTTCAGGAAACTTAATTGACATATATGAATTTGGTAACTAGATTGTAAGTCACTCAACTCTCTGGGCCTCAATTTCCCTATATGTAAAATGAGCTAGTTGAATGAGATAATTTTTAAGGTTCCTGATAGATGGTGTAGTGGATAGGAGTGATGGACTTAGGGTCAGAAACTATCTGAGCGAATCCTGCCTCACACTCATTAAGAACACCGGACTTACTGAGTGGTTATGAAAATTAAATGAGATAATATACATAAAGTGCTTTGTGTACATTAAAGTGCTATCTAAAGGTCAGCTGCTGTTATTATCAAGAACAGAGAACAGCTCTTTCTGCTTCTAACTCCCGATGCATGCAAAAATGTTTGTTTTACTTTGGTCTGTACTTGTGATTTCATTGGTGTTGCAGGTGCTTGGCAACTTTATAATCATAGAGTTGCCTGGCCACTGCAAGGTTAGATAGCTTGTCCATGCCCCTGAAGTCTAGTATGTGCCAGAAACAGGACTTGAAATCAGGTCTTTCCAACTCTAGGACTGTATAGTCTATCTACACATCACCTTGCTTCTCACAAAACTCTTATTGGTGCCTAACAAAAACTTAATTTGAAAAGTCATCACTTGAAAGTGGTGGTTAATGCTTGCTACTCACCCTTTGAAAAAAATATTTTTGAGTATTACTGTATTTTCATTTCCTGTGGTAACCTTTCCAAAAAACTCTTGGACTAAAAACCACTTTGATAATTAACAGAGTTCTATATATGGGATAAAGGATGGTATAGGTATCACCTTGGAATCAGGAAAGCTTGCACTCAAGTCCTGCCTTATACTTAACATCTGTGTGACCACTGACAAGCCACTTAAACTTCTCAGTCAGTACTCTAGGCTACTCTAAGAAAGTCATTTGCTGGCACATCTGAGCTATGGTAACTGATCTGCATCACTGTTGGAATTTGTATTCAGGGTGTTAACCACACCAGTGAAATCACACTTGTACAGAACAGGTAAAGTTTGTTGGTTAAAAAAAACAACAAAAACATTCTGGTTTGTATTTTGTTTTCTTTTATTCAGATTCCTCATCAGTATCTTAAATGAGATAATTTTCATAAAGCACTGTGCTATATAATTGTCAGATTGAAGTGGTTGTTCCACTTAGTAGTATCTTCATGGCATTGCTGGGTGGTGGTCCTTTTTCATCTATGGGAGTGGGATTTGGAACCAGTCTTTGACAACTGGAGAGATTAGCTGCTTCTTTGGGGCAGATGAAATAAACACAACAGACGTTGCAGGTTGGGGAGGACGTTGGATGCTTCTAGTTACGTTTCTATTCACATCCCAAAACCCTTTGTGGGTTTGAACCAGCACCAGCATTTACTGATTTGAATTTCAGTAAAATTTAGCTAGTGAGTGTGGACATTACCTAAAAATTTCATAGATGAAACTGGCAAGATGCTAAAAACAAAGTAGAACGTTTTCCAGCCTTTCTATAGTCTTAATTTTATTCACTTAACAAGCATTTATTAAGTGCCTACCATATGTTAGGTACTAGAGAATAAGGATGCAAAGCCAAAATGAAACAGTTTCTACATTCAGGGAGCTCTCTTTATATTGGGGGTTGGAACTATATATGTGTAGACGATTAAATACAAAATATGTACAAAGCAATTTCTGAAGAGGGTACTAGCCACTGGGGGAAGCTAGGATTTCTAAGAAAAAGAGGTGATGGAGGGAAAGTGTGTTATAGGTGTGGGGAATGAAAGGCATCAGATGGGAGATGGAACAACCTGACCTGTATAGGAGACAACAAGCAGGCTGATTTGTCTGGGAGGTAGGGAGTCCAAAGGAAGGTGATTAATGTTCAGTGGATCTGGAAAGGCAGGTGAGAGCTCATATTGTGAAAAGCTTTAAAAACCAAAAAAAGGGGCAACTAGGTGGCACAGTGGATAGAGCTTCAGCTTTGGGGTCAAGAGGACCTGAGTTCAAATCCGACACTTGACACTTACTAGCTGTGTGACCCTGGGCAAGTCACTTAACTCTGATTGCCTCACCAAAAAGCCAAAGAAAAGGAAAAAAAAACCCAAAGAAAGGAAGCTTACTATGAGTTGTAGAGGCAAGAAGGAACTACTGGGAACTTCTTGAACAGTAGGGTAACATGGTCAGATCTATGTTTTAGGAGTTTCAGTTTGGTAGATTGAATGGCTGGGGGAAGAGACTGGAGGCCAAGGGACCAATTAGGAAGCTATTCAAATAGCTTTGTCCAGGTGAGAGGTGATGAACTAGATAGTATCAGTTCTAGTAGGGAAAAGGGAACAGATATGAGCTCTATTGTATAAATACAATCAACAATATTTGGCAAGTAATTGGATAGGAAGAGGGAAGACTTAATGGTCCCAAGGTTGTGAACCTGGTTATTGGTACACTCAACAGAAATAAGATGTGAGGAAGAAGGAAGTTTTGAGGGGGAGATGAGAAGATAATGAGTTCTGGTTTTTTTTTGTCGTTGTTTAGTCGTTTTAAATTATGTCTGACTCTATAGTGACCCCATTCGGGGTTTTCTTGGCAAAGACATTGGAGTGGTTGGCCATTTCCTTCTCCAGTTCATTCTACAGATGAGGAAACAAGCAAACAGGGTTAAGTGACTTACCCAGGGTCACACAGATAGTAAAGATCTGAAACCTTTTGGACACAATGAATTTGAGAGGCCTTCTGAGCTTTTAGTTGAAGATATCCAACAGTTTGATGAAGGACTGGAATTTTGGAGTGGGGTTGCGTATGCAAATCTGGGAATCATCTTCATGGTGGTGAAAAATATGACATGCTTCACAAAATAGAATATCAACAATGGTAATAGAAGTACCACATTTGAACCTTAACAGCTGAGTTCTGATATGTTTTATTAAGAAGTTAAAATGACATTTAATTCTGTGTAAGAGTTAACTGGGCTGGGCCAAGTATTCACAGGCAGTTATCTTAAAATTACTGAATTATGGAGTCTTTTAGGGAATGAAAGATTCCAAAAAGAATAGGAATGATGTTATTTCAAGAAAAAGCCACCGACATGATTTTCCTAAAGTGCAGGTTTGACCATGTCATCTCCTCTGCTCAGTAAATGCTAGGGGTTTCCCATTATCTCTAGCATCATATAAATTGCTGTTTTCCATTTAAAGTGCCTCACAATCTGGTCATTCTTTCCTTTTGTTACATATTTCTTCCCTCCATACTCTATAGTCTA